CTGGACACTCTGCTAACTCAGAACCAAAGCCACTCCTGAAGTCCACCTTTTAGCCAAAGACTAGACAAGCCTATAAAACAAACAATAACACACGCCAGGAATGTTCTTCTTAGTTCAATCAAGTATATGAGATCAAATGGTCAACACTGCCCAAAAGCAAAGATTAGAAGGCAAGAAGGGACAGGAAAAATGGACAATGGGACACAGGGATCCTGGTGTGGAAAGGGAAAGGGGGAGAGTGCTGACACAATGTGGGAATTGCATCCAATGTCACAAAACAATTTGAGTATAAATTTTTGAAGGAGGGAAAAAAAATTTGTGATTTCTTTTGGTGACAAAGCCAAGGTACTGTTAACACTTCTGTGATTTGTAGCCAATAGTTTTAATAGAAGAAAACATTAAAATTTAGTTAGAAGTTAGTGAAAATAAAGATGGAACCTTTTTCTCTATCAAAAAAAAAAAAGACATAGCAGAACAAGAATAAAAGAAAACGAAAAAATTCTAGAAAATTAAAAGAGAGAAAGACAAACTATAAACAAAAGATAAATGGCCAGCGTCAGACTTTCATCAACAACACTGGTCACCACAAGAAAAAAAATGGAAGAATGTCTTCATAGTTATGAGAAAACAATGATTTAAAACAAGAATTCTATACCCAGCCAAACTATCAAACTATCATATCATGTGTATGACATATTTTCAGACATAAAACGAATCTTAAAATGAAAAGCCTACCACCATATATATATATACAAAAAAAGTACTTGATCTTTTACTATGGCAAAATGAAAAGAGAAAGAAATCCAGAGCATGGCTTGAAATATAAGAGAGGCATCTGAGTGTGTCACAAGAGACCTGAAGAAAGCTAGAAAGAGACAAGTGCTAACCCAATGGATATGGAATCTCTGAACATTTTCCTTAAAGGAACACAGGTGATAGGAGGGGGAGAGAGACTTTGCTTTCTATTATCTAATCCTCTGTACCAGTTGTATTTTATAAGATGTGCAAGTTTGATTATATACTTACATTTTTAAATACTTAAAAGAAATTTAAAAATATATTTAAAGTACTCAGTGCAGGATAGATGGAACCAAAATACATCACTTGGGAAAAATATTCACCTCCAAAATATCAACTCAGCAAAAGCTTGGCTCAAATATTTTTCCACAACTTTTCTAGGGCCAAACAAAATACCGATGGGCAAAATAGAGTTCTGCAACACACTTACAAGTTTTATGAGTGAAAAACTAACAACAGAAAATAAACAGCACTAATGAGTGCTCTCCAGCAACTGGCTCTAAACAACAAGCAAGGGGAGGCTTGTTAAGCCTCTTGTTGGGACAACACAAGCCAGAGAGGGATATAAAAGCCTGGACAGCTCAGAGCATCTCACACACTCACACACACACTCACTCACACCCTCCTCCCAGCTCACCGCCTCCCACGCCCACCATGGCTGACACCTGCTGCTCCAGGACCTGTGTTCCAGCTGCGTCCACCATGTCCATCTGCTCCAGTGACAGGAGCTATGGCAGCCGCGTCTGCCTGCCCAGCGCTTACACCAGCTCCTCCTGGGAGGTGGACGACTGCTCCGAGAGCCACTGTGAGCCCACCTGCTGCAGCCCCACCTGCTGTGCCCCTGACTGCTGCACCCTGGCCCCCAGCCTGACCCTCAGCTGCACCCCTGTGAGTCCCAGATGAAGGCAGCCTGTGGGTCCAGCCCCTGCCAGTCAGCCTGCACCAGCTCCTGTGAACCCTCCTGCTGCCAACAGTCTAGCTGCCAGCCTGCATGCTGCACACCCTCCCCCTGCGAGCAGGTCTGCTGCAAGCCCATCTGCTGCAAGTCCGTCTGCTGCAAGCCCGTCTGCTGCAAGCCCGTCTGCTGCAAGCCCATCTCCTGCAAGCCCGTCTGCTGCAAGTCCGTCTGCTGCAAGCCCGTCTGCTGCAAGTCTGTCTGCTGTGTGCCTGTCTGCTGTGGGGCTGCCCCCTGCCCATCCCCCGCATGCTGCCAGCCCCCTGCCTGTGCCCCTTCCTGCTGCAGACCCTCCTCCAGCATGTCCCTGCTCTGCCGCCCTGTGTGCAAGCCCACCTGCTGTGTGCCCACCTCCTCCTGCTGTGCCCCCACCTCCTCCTGCGTGTCCCTGCTCTGCCGCCCCGTGTGCCCCTGCCCAGCCTGCTGTGTCCCCTTATCTGGCCAGAAGTCCTGCTGCTGAATGGACTTCTTAAGGTCACCCCAAAGCTTGAGAGCTCACTGCCACCTGCCCTACCTGGAATCTTTGCTAATCCCCTAGACCATAGACCAGGTCCTGCCCTGTGCCCCTGCCATGGCATTTCTGCTGCCCACTGTTCACTCTCTTCTACTGGAACAGCACCCTTGTCCTCCCACCCCCCACCCCAATCAGCATGCCCTGCCTCCCCAGCCATGGGTTTGGCAGTGACCTCAGCTCGGCCACCTGGACCCTCCCAGGCCTTTGAACCTTGTGCAGAATGCAGCAAGGGAAGAAAAGAATATTTGGAGTTGGATTCTCTTTGCTGCCACCTCTTTGGGCCTGAAAAGAAATTCTGCCCCCTGGGCCCTTGTGTGGCCCTGGCTCCTGTCCCTGTTCCTGATCCTGCTTCCTTTGAGCTGTCATGCCCTTCCAATAAAGCCCTTTTCTGATGAAGTTAACCAGAACTCATTTCTGTTGTTCACAACCAAAGACCCGTGCCCACCATTCCCCTATAAGTGGGTGGTCCTGGGCCACTGCCAGGTATCCCTGTGTCCTTGTCCCCTATACAGGAAGCCCCACCCCACCCTGGCTGCATGTATGTACAAGGAGTGCACCTGCTTTCAAGGATGCCTTGAAATTACTTCGATCTATTCTGAGAGATTTGGCAATTTCTTCATTTGCATGTATCTCTGTTAAAAAAAAAAAACCATAATAGCCTTAACTACTTGTTATTGTGGGTATCACCTTTTCTTTAAAGAACTTAGTTGTTAAAAAAAATATATATGGAATTATAATCATTCCTCCAACAATGAATATGTGCTTCATCAATATCAAGTTATGGCCTGATGGTTCCACACTTTTCTACATAAACAATAACTTTTCATTTTAATGCTGAACTGATTGAAATTATTTGAAAAGATTTTAAACTACAATTAAACTCAATACCTGTAGTAGCACATGGTCTGTAAGTTGACTGCTGAGCCAAGTTCACACCTGGGCAGGCAATGGCAATACCTAAGCAATTATATAAAAAACAAATATGCCACTTTGATGACTAAGGTGCATCTGACCCAAGCCATGGTCTTTTCAATCGCCTCTTATGCATGCAAAAGTTGGATCATGAAAAAGCAAGAAAAAAAATGATGCATTTGAATTGTAGTGTTGGCAAAGAATATTGAATATACCATGGACTGCCAGAAGAACGAACAAATCAGTCTTAGAAAAATACAACCAGAATGCTCCTTAGTAGCTAAGATGGCGAGACTTCAACTCACTAACTTTGGACTTGTCATCAGGAAAGACCAATTTCCAGAAAAGGACATCATGTTTGGTAAAGTGGAAGGTCAGTGAAAACCAGGGAAACTCTCAATGAGATGGATTGACACAATATACAAGGTGTCCAATGACAGCAATGAACTCAAATATACCGACAATCATGAAGATGGTGCAGGACCAGGAAATGTTTTGTACTGTTGCACATAAGGTCACCATGAGTGGGAGCCGACTTGACAGCAACTAACAACACACAATTATAAGATGACATCTATTGTGGGTCGTAATCTACTGTAGACTGAATCAACATCCCAATTCTTCACCCCTCCCTATGGCTTTGCTGCCCCTCCTATGGGAGAGGGAGCACATTTCCCCACCCCTTGATTCATCAGAGTTTGGTCACGAGGTTTGCTTTGGCCAGTGGGATATCAGCAAACATAATACAAATAGAGGCTTAAAAGCGCTTGTATAATTGGGCTAGTTCTGCCTTGCCATCACCATCAGAACATGCCAGAGTTCACCTGCTGGAAGATGAGAGATGTATGGAGCAGAACCAAGTCACCTGGGTCATTCCAGCTGAGGCCACCCTAGATCAGCTGACAGCCTGCTAAGCCCAGATATGTGAGCAAACCCAGCCCCAATCAGCAGAGCTGCCTCGCCAACTGCCCTAAAGACGTGAGCAATGCGTGCTCACGGTTTATGCCACTGAGATTCGCAGGCTTTTGTTATGTGGCACCATTGTGACAATGGATACAGACAACAATATCATAGCTGCTAAAACATGAAAGTATGTGCATCTGAGAACTGATGACATATGGTATTTACTTCCAGTGCAGTGCCATAGTGACTAAGAAAATTAGGCAAAGGGAAAACAGAGTAGGGAAAAATGTAATAAAGCCAGAGGAGACATTAGGCCAAAAATGCTTACCAGGAAGCCCTGTACACTTGTTATCATAAGGCACACATTGTCTTCAGTATTTTCTAGCAGCCAAGAAGCAGAGAAGATAAATGAGATGAATCATGAGATAAATCACACTTTTTGATGGCAGAAGCAGTGCCTCAGCTAGGCTGGGAATGCAAGAAATGTGTCTTCATGGAGTCTCCTAAGAGGACCCAGTGTGAGCAGGGTTACACCTCCACCATACCCTTGCCCCTGGGGCCTGTGGCAATGCCTAACCTCACAAAGAGGTGCCCTACCCAAGATCCACAGCTGCAGTCCCTGAACCCAAGGACCATGATCCACCTTGAAAGTAACAATAGCACCACCAGGGAGAAGTCCCGGCAATACAAACTCAGAAGTCAGAGACACCTAGGGAACAAGTCAGCCTATGGGTAGACTAGCACCATGAGTGTCCTGCTAACTGGTCCATGTGGGCAGCCCTCGTTCAGGAGTCTGGCTCTGGAGGTGCCAACCGATCTTCACAGATGAGTTAAAAATCCAACATCAATACCCAGCAAAAATATCTTTCAAAATGAAAGTGAAATAGAGACTCTCAGACACAAAAAGCTGAAAGAAATCACTAGCAGACCTGAACTACAAGAATTGTTCAAAGAAGTCCAGGCAGAAAGAATACAATATCAAATGAAAATGTGGATGGATTTACAAAAATATATAGAGAGCAGAAATAGTACATGGGTAAATATATAAAATTTCTTTCTTATTATTTAAGTACCTTTAAAAGATAGATGGTTGAAACAAAACTAATAACAATGTATTGTGGCATTTAGAACATAACTAAAAATAAAATGTATAACAACAATAGCACAAAGGTTTGGAGGGGAGAAATGGGAATATACTATTGTAAGGCTCTTATACTATACAATAGCGGTACAATATCACTTGAAGATAGACTGTAATAAGTTAAAAATATATACTATAAACCCTAAAATACAAAACAGTTATAGCTAATAAGCCAACAAAAGAGAAAACATGGAATAATAAAAAATACTCAATTAATAGAAAAGACAGTAGAAAGAGAGGGAAAGGGGAAAAAACAGATAAGAGAAACAGAAAAGAAATAGTAAAATGATAGATTTAAACCCAACCAAATTAATAATCACATTAAATGTAAATCGTCTAAATATCTCCACTGAAAGACAGAGATTAGCAAATCAGGTAAATTAGCAAGACCCAACTATATGCTGCCTATGTGAATACATTTAGAATACAAAGACAAAAATTGATTAAAAAAATGAAAAAATGGAGAAAAATATACTGTGCTAACATTAACCAAAAGAAAGCTTCAGCAGCCATATTAATATCAGACAAGGTATATTTCTGAGCAAAGAATTATGCCACAAATAAAGAGGGTTATTCCATGTGATAAAGGGGTCCATTAACCAGGAAGACATAACAATCCTAAATGTTTCTGCACCTAATAACAGACCTTCAAAATACATGAAGCAAAACTGATTGAACTATAGGAAAAAATAGACAAATCCACCATTATACTCAGAGATTTCAATATTTCTCTCTCAACAACTTATAGAACAAGTAGGCATAAAATCAGGAAGGATATAGACTATTTGAGCAACACTATGAACCAGCTTGATCTATTCAACATCTAAAGAACACTCCACCTAACAACAGAATATCCAATCTTTTCAAATGCATTCAACACATTTACTATATTTTGGGCTACAAAACAAGTTTTGATCAGTTTAAAAGGGTTCAGGTTGCAAAACGTATATTATCTAACCATGATGGAATTAAATTAGAAACCAACAACAGAAAGATCTCTGGAAAATCCTCACATATTTGAAAACTAAATAGCACACTTCTAAAACACCCATGACTCAAAAAAGAAAAGAAAGGGGAAATTAGAAAATCTTTTGAAATGTGTGAAAATGAAAACCCAGCATATCAAAATTTGTGGGATACTGCTAAAACAATATTATAGAGAAATTTATAGCACTAAACACCTATGTTAGAAAAGAAGAAAGTTTTCAAATCAGTGGCCTGTTTCCACCTAAAGAAACTTGGGGGTGGGGCGGAAGCAAATTAAACCCAAAGAAGAAAGGAAATAACAAAGATCAGAGTGGAAATCAATGACATAGAAAACAGAAAACAATAGAGAAAATCAGTAAGACCTAAGCCTAGTTCCTCAAGAAGATTGATAAAATTGATCAATTTTATCCATCTAACCAGACTGACTAGCAAAAGAGAGAGAGAAAGACTACCAATATCGAGAATGAGAGACGTGACATCATCAAAGAATCAATAGATATTAAAAGTATAATGAGAGAACATTATGAACAACTTTGTGCCAATAAATTTGACAATTCAGGTGAAACGGCCTTGTAAAGTGTTAGGACAGAAGACAAGGGTGTTAATGCATACCCAGTTTTCTCTACTCTGGTAGCCTAGACAAGCCCAGAGCCCGCAATAACTGTGTACACAGGGGTCATCCCAGGTGACCCAACCAAGGATGGTTGGGATGAGGATGGATGGATTTCTTGTGCAGCCAACACGGCACCCATTCAGACACCAGGAAACCATTTTTGCAGACCTACAGCCTTTCTTCTCCAATTTTACATTCTGGAGCCAAACACAGGTTAGGATGTGTCAACAAAACCCCAAAATACACTCAGTTTTACAAGGTGAGCAATACATCATAGAAACAAAACACTAGGCTGACACTAATTAGAGCTCTCTAGACTCCAAACATCAAGGAAGGGGAGGCTTGTTGAGCCTCCTGTTGGGACAGCACACAACACAAGGGAACATAAAAGCCCGACAGCCCAGAGCTCCTCACACCCTCACTCACTCACTCGCACACTCACACTCTCCTCCCAGCTCACCTCCTCCCACCCCACCATGGCTGACACCTGCTGCTCCGGAACCTGTGTTCCAGCTGCATCCACCGTGTCCATCTGCTCCAGCAACAGGAGCTATGGCAGCCGCATCTGCCTGCCCAGCGTTTACACCGGCTCCTCCTGGGAGGTGGACAACTGCCCCGAGAGCTGCTGTGAGCCCCTCTGCTGCACCTCTACCTGCTGCCAGCCCACCTGCTGTGCCCCTTCCTGCTCCACCCCAGTGCCCTCCCTGACTCTCATCTGCACCCCTGTGAGCTGCGGGTCCAGCCCCTGCCAATCAGCCTGCACCAGCTCCTATGAACCTTCCTGCTGCCAGCAGTCTAGCTGCCAGCCTGCATGCTGCACGCCCTCCCCCTGCCAGCAGGCCTGCTGCGTGCCTGTCTGCTGCAAGCCTGTCTGTTGCAAGCCTGTCTGTTGCAAGCCCATCTGCTGTGTGCCTGTGTGCTGTGGGGCTGCCCCCTGCGGGGCCCCTACCTCTGCCCCCTCCTGCTGCAGACCTTCCTCCTGCATATCCCTCATCTGTCAACCAGTGTGTAAGCCTGCCGGCTGTGTGCCTGCCTCCTCCTGCTGTGCTCCTGCCTTCTCCTGTATACTCCTGGTCTGCCGTCCCGTGCGTCCCCGCCTGTCCTGCTGTGGCCCCTCATCTGGCCAGAAGTCCTACTGCTGAGTGGCTCAAACTTCTGTCGTTTGCAAGCTGCTGTCTTTGGTCTGAGCCCTGGATCCCCCTCTGCCACCAGGCAGCTCACTGTGCATGCCACCACCAGAGTCTGCTGTCTGGGGGAGGCCAGATGACAAAGGCGTAGTCTAAATTCAGAGTTCAAAGCACTTGAGAGGCAAGGAGCTGTGTTAGAAGATACCGTCCAGATGACCCCTGCTTCCCTTCTCTACACCCAGGGACCCTGCCCTCCCAGACAGCAGGGAAGGGGAGGGAAGGGAGAGGGTCGATGCCAAGCTCATGTGCCAACCTGTCCATGCCCATTCCCCTTGAGTCCGGGTGGAAGACGTTTGGTAGGTGTCGTGGATTGAATTGTGCCCCTCAAAAATACCTGTCAACGTGGCTAGGTCAGGTTTTCTGGTATTGTATGATTGTCTATCATTTTGTCATCTGATGTGATTTCCCTATGTGTTGTAAATCCTATCACTATGATGTAATGAGATGGATTAGTGGCAGTTATATTGATGAGATCTACCAGATTAGTGTCTTAAGCCAATCTCTTTTGAGAGATAAAAGAGAGAAGCAAGCAGAGAGACATGGGGACCTTATACCACTAAGAAGGCAGTGCCAGGAGCAGAGTGCATCCTTTGGACCCGAGGTTCCTTCACAGAGAGGCTCCTAGATCAGGGGAAGACTGATGACAAGGACCTTCCTCTAGAGCCGACAGAAAAAGAAAGCGTTCCCTTGAAGCTGCTGCCCTGAATTTGGACTTGTAGCCTACTAGACTGTGAGAGAATAAATTTCTCTTTGTTGAAGCCATCTACTTGTAGTATTTCTGTTACAGCAGCACTAGATGACTAAGACAGTCAGGGATCCGAGAGTAGCAAGGACTGTGCTGACCTCCTGGCATGTAACCTGGAACAGCGGGTCTTGGACAGAGGGGCCCAAACAGAGGAGGGGGGCCAGCACACTGTGTCCAGGCAGAGAGTTTCAGGACCACCCCTGCATGCTCAGAAACATCAGCAAGTTCACGTGGGCCCCCAGAGGGACTCAGGATCAGTTCAAATATCACATGTCCTACTCAGGGTGGGGGAGGCACAGAGCAAAGACACCATGCAACAGTAGGGGAAGATGAGGCTGCAGTCTCAGTGGACCACTAGCACTAAATAGTCAGGTAGGCACCAAGTCAGGCTGGCCAGGTCACCATCTGGGCACCCCAAGTACAGACCAGATGAGGCCCATTGAAGCAGAAGCACATTGAAGGCCGGGCAGTTAAGAGCAAGAACAAAGGGCACCACCCCAGGGAGGCCAGGGGTGTGTCAGTAAGCTCCACCCACTCCCCAGTTTAGCTCTGCCCCAGGGAAGAGGAGACAGAGTAAAAACCCTAAGCAGTGCTTCAGACAGAAAGTGGCTGAATCATAAACCTGCACTGACTGATAAATTCCTCTGTTTGCCTGAGTTTATTCAAAACTTGTACCCATTACTTTTTATTAAGTTTTAAGAAAAATATGACCATTTCCATAGAGAAACCAGCAAAGGTCTTAATGGACTCTTCATTGTATCACAGTTAAAATGACACATCAGAAGGTTCAACCTCAACCCCAATCAAAGATTTGTAAGGAACTGGGATGTTGACACAATATAAACCTGTTGTCGTTGAGTCAATCCCAGCTCATGGCGACTGCATGCGTTACAGAGTAAAACTGCTCTTGGCTGTAGTCTTTACAGAAGCAGATCACAAGGCCTTTCTTTCACAGAGCTGTTGAGTGGGTTTGAACGGCCAACCTTAAGTTAGCAGCTGATAACAAACCACTTTCAACACCCAAGCTCCTTAACCCAACATAGAAATGAGCAATTCAAAACTCCACAGATGCTGGTGTGGATGGCTATGGCAAAGCTGGGGTATGTCGTCATCACCACAACATGCTCACTCCCAGGGGTGCACAGTAGGAAAGTGTCTGGAACCTTCTGACAGTTCTCAAATGGAATGTCAATCAGAACGCATGAACCTGGCTGGGGCAGGTAAATGTGGGCACATGGGCATGAGTTAAAACCAAGCAGGTCGGCGTGCCCACGGCATGTTGACAGCCACTATGAGTGTGTACTCGAGATGCCCAAATCGAGGAGTCGAGCCCACCCCATCAACACGAAAAAAGCTGGCATGTCAGCAGGTTGCCAATGATTGGACTTTCCTGTCTCCATTGTTCCCAGGAACCCAGATAACAGACCCCATATGCCAAAGGGAGTTAGGATACCACCATGCAGGATGTACAAAGGAGGTGTCACAAACTAGTCCCGTGGTTTGGAGCTGACCCTCAACTCCAGCCTCTAAAGGGGTTGGAGAGACCAAGCAAAGGGAGGCTGAAGGTTAAAAAAGGACTTCTTTGGAGAGAGTTGAACTGTGGCCCATTCCCCTCCTGAGAGAGAAAATTGGGCTATGTCGGCTCTTCACACCAGGCTGAGGGAGAGGATTTCCAGAGATCACCAGGTTCATGACCCTATCCCCACATGAGGACAGCCAGGTCCAGGGTCCAACCTGCCTGAGAAATTGAAGGGGTGGGTCTGGATTGGACACTCCAGGGGAGAACAGGTGGGATGCTCCCTGAGGTCCTACAGACTGGTATGGATCCCCCAGGAGAGAGGATCAGAGACAATTCAGGTCCTGGGAGAGACATCTAGAGGGAAGACATTCTTCCACAGAAAGAACAAAACCACCAGATGCAGTAGAGACTCCTTTGCCCTTGTTAAGGAGCTGCAGGGCAGGGAGGTCCATGGAGAGGAGCCCACGAGAGGAAGAATGGGCTTCAAAGACCACCTAGACAGAGGAAGAAAAGGGAGCCTGGCCCACAGTAGCACCAGTCAAGTGGAAATTTGTCTCTTTCCTTCTCTCTGCCCCCTCCATCACCACCTGCAAGGGTTGGAGTTATGATTGACCAGAAAGAGGAAGGGTAACATTCAGAAGCTTTGAGAGATAAAGATGATAAGTTTCCCATTGTTGCTGTAACAAATGACCACAACTTTTGTGGCTTAAAACAACACAAGTTTATTATCTTACAATTCTGGAAAAGTCCAAACTGAGTATCATGGAGCTAAAATCAAGGTGTTGGCAGGGCTGATTCCTTCTGGAGGCTCCAAGGGAGAATCTGCTCCTTGCCTCTTTCAGCTTCTAGGGGCCACCTGCATTCCTAGGCTCATGGCCCCTTCCTCCACCTTCAAAGCCAGCAATACAGCATACTCTCCATCATCACCTTGCCTTCAACTTCTGTAGCTGAGTCTCCTCTGCCTCCCTCTTATAAGGACACTTATGATTGAATTTAGAGCCCACCTAGATAATGTAAGATCATCTCTCCATCTCAAGAGCCTTCACTTCATATCTAAGAGAATAAAATACCTAAGAATAAATTTACCCAGGTATGTTGTCATGGATTGATTGTGTCCCC